AGGCTCTCATCTCATGAGTGGTTTCAACAATTTTTTGCACACCATGTAGAATTTGAAATAGTTCCTAATATATAATGCTATGAATATATTTATCATGGATGGTTTAATTATTAGAGAAAGGTAAATGGAGCATGTGGAAATGCACTTGAAGTGATACTCCCTGTTGGTATATCGCCTATGAATGTATCTTGTGAAGTACTGCTTTGGAAGTTATTCCATGTTTTTAACCACACAAGACTGAAGAACACATACATTTTGAACTCAACAAAACAAGACGATAGTGAAGAGTTTACACGCACGCACACGCAGTCCTACACAGTTCACTTGTGCCTTGAGGGATAGCATTATTATCACTATTATTAATAATAAAAAACACAATTTGTCCCAGTAGTACTGGCCACCCTGTTTGAAGAGTTTTAGGAGATCCCTGAGCACATTGTTTCTGACTCTTAACCCCAACTCCAAAGTGATAGGGTTTCTATTGTTGATATCAAGATGGATTGTCATTCACAGTAAGTCAATCATAAGGTGCTTATTTACCCTTTTTTTTCCACCAATCAGCACAAAGAACTGTCAGAAAATAACTTTTTTTATTATTGTTACCTTAAAATAATAGCACTGGAAGGACACGTGATTTAAACAATCAATGTTTGAAAACAGTGGCTTTAGGATTATTATCTGGCTGCCCCTCAACAATAACAAGTGATTCAATCGACATTCCTTAGCCAAAAACAAAAGGCAAAAAAAACCAAACCATACCAAAACAAAACAAAAAAAACAACCCAAAAACAAAACAAAACAAAAAAAAAAACCAACCAAAAAAAAAAACAAAACCCAAAACAAACCAAAACTGTACAAATATGTATTTTTTCCCTGAGGGATCAAGGTACACCCGCAAGTGCTCTATGTACATATTGCACTAGAGAGGAATGGAGAACATGTGCAAAAAAGCAACAATGAGAGAAGCTTACATCCTACTTAAACCTTTTCATTCAAGATTCCACTAGGTTGTTTTGCATTTTGGAATGTCGGAACACAAACAGCTATTCCTTAGTCTAAAACTAAAAACACATATTTCTACTATGGCACATTCAATGAAATAAAAAGTTTCCCAAAGACAGATAGACAAATTCCATCAAGAAAATAATACAAAGTTTGTTTGTTTGTATTTTTTTTTTTAGAAAATTACATTACTTTCTTTCTTTGTTTCACATTACAAAATCTTTTTTTTTTTCTTTACACAAATCACATTTTATTGCAGGAATATTTCAAGTGCCATCAAATATTTATAGAAGGGTTAAAAAAATAGAAGTCTCTCTAAAGTGGTCCAGACAAGGCTTTGTATAGAATAAGTCATTTTTTCCCCCATCTTCTAGTTTTGATTTAAGTATTTTGAATACATCTTCTTTTCCATTGACACTTAGTAGCCTAGAAGCGGTCCGACACACGCACATCATACACACGAAAACCACACCCACACCTGCATACACACCCACCCACACATACTCCCTCCTCCCTGGCCCTCAGCCCACCCCCATACGCTCACAGAGATCCGGGTATCCACACTATAAAGAACAACCAAACTTAGAAGCAGTGCCGTAAGTCATATTTTCCTTAAATTAGGAAGGGTGAATTAGGATGCTGAAGACTTTTTTTTAAAAATCCATAGCTTTAACGCAAATTAGGATGCTGAACACTTAAAAAAAAAATCCATAGCTTTAACACAATTTGCAAACTGTCCAAAAAAGCACTTTCATCTGCACTTTTGTTTTCATTGTGACCAAGGCCAGGTTCTCCAGAGTATAATGCAATCATTTGACACCATTGTAACCAAAGGTATTCGGGCTTTGTACAAAAGCCTTACGTACCTTATATGAAAAACTGTATACAAGACATAGCAGCTGGGATAACAATGATGTGATTCCAATCTTTCAAAGACTACTGGATGTTTTAGTTTAGGAAACTTTAGTTTATAAGCACTCTTAAGAATAATTGTTCTGTATCACCAAGTATTTTGTGTCATCACACAGGTGTTTCTATAGTAAGAAAGAAAATAAAAATGCAAAGTTTTTCACATCCTTTTCTGAACTTCACTTTTTAAAACTGAATTTATTGTTTAACTTCAGATCCCAACTTTTATCCAAATAATAGTTGTTCCCTCTGTTCACCGAGCACACCTCTCCTGCTCTGTCCCTACACTGTCAATGTACTTTGCTCTTAAAATCCTCACCTTGCTTTTCTTTCAGAAAGATCTGGTAGCAGCATCATGTCAATGTATCTTGGTTTACTCTAAAAGCAATGTCACCATGGTGGGACTACTATTGAGATTAAGCATCATTTTTTTTTTTTTTTTTTTTTTTTTTTTTTTTTTTTTTTTTTTTTTTTTTGCATTTGGTACATGCAAAATCCCTTCTGGGAAAAGGAATTTCTTTTAAGCTCAACATTATGCTCTCTCTCACCCTTAGAGAAGTTCAATTAGCTCTTTTCATTTCACAAGTGGACACTGGAATTAGGTTTAGTTGCTCTTTAATGCGCTAGCACCTGAGGCTGGTCATATTCAGAAAGCTTTGGTTAAAAAGAAGTTAATATACTTTAATCAAACCACCCCCAAATTTAGTGAATCAGAATGACAAAAAGCCAAAAAACAGACCAAAAAAAAAAAAACCACCCCAAAAAACAATACCATACCATTTTCCCCCACAAGAGAAATAATAGGAAAAAAGATGGACAAATAAATAACTGAACTAAACGTGGTACTCTTTTCAGAGTATAAATACTATTGATCCTTACAGGAACTATGCTTATTTAAATTAAAATTTTGATTTAACCCTTCTTGCCCAAATATAAATACTATATGCTGATAGTTAACCTCTCTGTATAAACACTCACATAAAGTTTTATATACTTGTAAGAAATTTAAGTAAATATTACTTGCGTCTTCTATTTATGGTTAAACCCTTACTATATTTTTGAAAAAAAAAATTAAGATGTTATTTAGGCTTCATACACACTTTTGTGTGAATAATCCCTTCCTCTTCTCCAAATCCCTCAGGAAACAAGTCAGAAAATCAGTGGAGTTAAAGCCAGAGTATCGGGCTCTGGGAAGCCCATGCTGTTATCCACGTGACATCAGGATTCAGGAGGGACCCTGGTGGTAGAGACACTTTCTCTGCTATAAAGGGCTGCCTGGACACTCCCACCTTTATGCTATGGGAAGATATTTCCTTTTCTGTACAAACGTGGTCTTTGATGTCAGACCACAAGTTTGAATCCTACCCCCAGGGTGACTAAAATCATCTTCTAAATGCCTACATTTCCAAAGGGCACTTATTTTTTCAAATATGCACACCTGTATATCAGACTGTTCATTTTCCCTTCCCCCCTGGGAATTATTAAAATTAAAAAAACCCCAAAACATGAAATTAAACAAGAACATTCAATATTTCTCACCTGAACACAAAAGCCAAACAATCTTCTAAATATTTAATAAAATAAATTACAGTCCACAGTTTTCTAGTGAAGATAAATACAAGAGTAAATGTTTGCAGCTTAACATCAACTTCACTTTGAATGCTTAAAATATTTCATATTTAAGTAAGAGAAACTGGTTCTGCATTGCATGCCTCTCTCGCCCCTCTATCCAGGGTCTGTGAGCTATGGAGAGCAATATTCTAGAATTATAGCATCTAGAGGCAGCTAGTCTAGAACTAGTTTACTCTGAGATACCCTCTTAGGGTTCCTAGATTATACCAAGAACATAATCATTCACAAAGTAAATGCTTCATGTCCTCACATGGGGAGTGTGTATTTGCTCCAGATATAATCTTTGGGTCCTTCTTATAATAAAAGCTGAATTCCAATAAATATTTGGGTTACTGATTTGTTCTCAAAGCATTAAGAGTTCCAAGTTGAGATGGACTCCATATAACTATAGAATTGTGTAAAATGAGCCTCCCCTCTCTCCCCTGCCTCCATGAGGTGGCATTTAAAAAAGCTTTTTTAAAAATAATGTGCGTGATGGTGTAAGTCCATAGCACCAATCGATCATTCAACTTTGTATGAAGCATAAACACATCTATCCTTAAACTTACCACGAAGCAAAGTATAATTTAGGTAGAGTTCTAATTCCGAATTCACGTGTAAAAAAAAAAAATAATAATCCACATCGTGATTTCTAGATATGACCAGCCAGTCTTTTAAAAGTAATTTGTAAACAGCAGCATAAATACCTCCTGACGTACCTTCCAAGCCTTCTCAGTTAAACTTGTGTTTCTGGTGCACATGCGACACGACAGTGAACACGCTAGCATTTAATTTAAAGAAAAAGGTGCAAAATGAAAGTGCCTTATCAATTCAACAGGAAAAGCTACACCAGTAACTACATTTTATATTAATTAAAACAATATATAAACAATATCTCTTTTAGCTATATATAGTCTTCATGCCCATTTACCCTGTAATATATTATAATGCTATTGTTGCTAGTGCTATGGACCCTTTTCATGCCATCCTGCTGACTGGCAATAATCGGTGGAAACATAAAAACTTCCTTCATGAAACAGAGAGCAAGTTGTGCAAAATAATGCCGCAACCTCCGCTATGCACACCAGTCACCGATTATTGCTGGACTCTCTGTTGTTACCGACAGATTGGTGACTCTGCAGAAAGTCTGTGGGCAGTGAGCTACAAGAAAAGGAAATCCTCCGACTTTAGTACCCTCCTTCAGTTGTAAACAGAGGTCAATGATTGAGAAGTTGAGACAGAAAAAGGGTCCATATCTGTAGGCATAATGGAAATCATATGCATGAGAAAAACAAGTTCAACTTTTATTTGTTTTCATTGTTTCCCCTCCTTTGCCTGACCCCGATCACCAAAAGATGTGCAGTGTGTTGGCGCTCCAGGTCTGTGCAGGGCCATATAAAGTGTCTTGGTTAATTTGTTGTTGTTGTTGTTTTTCATGTTTGTACTTCAGACATTCTAGAAGTGCTTAGGTGATACATTTACCCATCGATTTGCATTGCTGGCTCAAATTCTGAAGTGAACAACTCCTTGTATAATGGAGGAAAATGAAGTCGCACAATGTCTGGGTATATTGCTTTAAATGCCATTAGCTTTTCTGTATGTCGTCCACATAAGGCTCTTAACGTAGACACCTTGCATATTAACTGCAAGTGGAAGAAAGGACATGTTGTGAGGAGAGAACAGACATGAGCATCACAAATCAGAGAACCTGGATGATCTTTACAATGTTGTTTATAACAGTGAAACTCACTTGAAGCGACTTACGTCTTCTTCAATAAGGAAGACTGGTAAAAACACATTTTAGGTACATCGTAGAGTATCAAGTATACATGAAATACAATTCTGAAGACAAATAATATAACAACCCGAAAAGATGTTCACGAGCAAGAGTGGCAGAGTTGAGATGAGAACCCAAGCCTCTCACCTCCTCCTCCTATTCCAACATGGTTTCTGCTCTACTGTCCTCAACCCTGCCCTCTGCCACTGTGGAGAAAGAAGACATCTGGTGACAGAGAAGAGGACAAGGAGGTAGTCAGGGGCAGGTGAGGTCACTGCAACTAGAGATGATGGCATCCCCCACGTATTTTAGGCAGCACTAGTACTAGCCAACTCCAGTGACAGCAAGTTTCTTCTGGGAAAGCCCTTTGCCTGAAACAAAGCAATTCTGGGTCTGAGCAAAAGGCCCTGAGTAAAATAAAAAAAAAAAAAAAAAAAAAAAAAAAAAAAAAAAAAAGAAGAGTCAGAAGGCCTGGACGGAAGTCCCAGCATCAGCCATTTACCAGCTGAAGATAGTAACAGCTTGAAACCACGTTTTTTTAAAACTCTAAACCACCATACACACTATGTATCAGCTCAACCAGAATAATCCTCTCTAAGAAGCATGTTCCACGGATCGTGGATCTTGTCCACATGTTCGGTGCCCTCTATGATAAAAGAAGCTGACGGTACCCTTGCCTTGGGGCAAAAAGTTGGAGAAGAAAGTACGAGTCTAGAGACCTCTTCTTCTATTTTCTATTCCTGCCTCAATCTCTCGTTGAACAGGTGCAAAATAAACACAAAACAGCAATTAACCCCCAACCTCCCCTCTCTGTATGAACTTAGCTATTGGGAGAAAAGAAGAGAAAGCAGGAAGAAAAACCCAAACCTCTCAAATCAATCTTCTTGAATAATAAAACGCATAGAATAGTCTAAGAAAGAATTGGGCTGATTTTTTTTTAAAGACCAAATATATACCACTAAGCACTAGCACTGAAGAATATTAACGTATTTTAAATTGACATCCTAATTATATTTTTATTGCAAAAGGTAATAATTAGCAAAAATGAAGCCTTCTGCTTGGAATACAGGGTAGTAATGGGAAATTGATGAAGAAAATACAAGTCACTTTCTGTTGATTATGAATGAATGTAATGGAAATAGAACTAATATTAGACTATGTGATTACCCTGCTTGTTTTAGTCCTTTATAACTTCCTCCTTCTAAATTCAAAGATTCTTTCTCTAATTTATGTCAATGCAGAACATTAGCTCTGCTTTATGCCCAACTTAGATGGAATAGGAGGAGGATTTCCAGAATGTATTAAAATGCTTAAAAAAAAATTATACCATTGCCCTATTATTGCAGGATACTTCATAACCAACGATGGTAGAATGTAAACTGAATTTTGGCCCAATGGAATTTTTTGAAGTGGAGACATTTCTTTCTTATCAGTAGCCTACTGCTTATAGATACTTTTGGGGTCTGGTAAGATGATTTCCAAAGGTGGCTGGCACCGAGATCTATGGCAAGGGATGATTCAGGCTATGCCAGCCAGACCATCTTTTACTCTTACCTTTGTTAGGATTCCATCTTCTCGGTGATTCTTCTGCAGGACATGTTGAAGAGCTAACTGAATTTTCTGTTGCAGTTTTTCAATCTTTACCTTCTCCTGCAGCCATGAGCGATCTACACATGAAAAATGATACTTCTTAGTATTTCTCCTCCATGGTCTCGGGACACCCCAATTCCTCCTGACTCTTAGACACAACTATACCACAGTGCTGAGTTAGAGAACAACAGGCCAGTTTTACTCCTTGTTCAAAATTTGCTCCTAAAACAATGGAAAACTGATCTATGATAGCTATAAAACTGAGTGGTAAAGCTTTCCATTTTTACTGGTACTTAAATGAAGGGAGAGTCCTCTCCTTCCAAAAGAATAGTCATTTAAATTGAAGGCCATATTCACACAAGGACAAAAGAAACCATCACAGATGCTCAAATCTTTCTAAAATTTTTTTTTAATGTTTACATATTTTTGAGAGAGAGAGACATAGCACGAGCAGGGGAGGGGCAGAGAGAGAGGGAGACACAGAGTCCGAAGCAGGCTCCAGGCTCCGAGCCGTCAGCACAGAGCCTGACGCGGGGCTCAAACTCACAAACCATGAGATCATGACCTGAGCCAATGTCGGACACTCAACTGACAGCCACCCAGGTGCCTCGATGCTCAAATCTTTCTAATAATTACATTTCTGGATAAAATACTCATAGCAATTATGCTTGCCTTTCTGGTAAATAAGAAAATTGCCTTAGAATCCAAGGCAACTAAAATTGACAAGAGAATTCCAAACAACTGAAGGGTTGTTAATGTGCAGTCTTTAGGTATAAGAATTCCAAACAGAAGATAGTAAATTTGCAAAGCAGATTATCCCCAAGAGGCAGTACTAGTTGAAAACACAGATAAATTCAGATCAACTTGTGGGTGACATCCAAAAGAATCTTAAGAAAAAGTAGGATGCTTTAAAAACCATGTTATCTTGAAGATTTGTGTTAAGAAGGGCAGCCGTTCTCTCCCAGAGCATTTCCTGTGTTATGAGGAGGTTAATTATGGACTGGGTTTTATTCAATTCGCATTAAAAATTTTTTTTTTTCGTTCTTTCTTTAAATTTGATTTTAAAATATTTTTAATTTTTAAAAAATTTACATCCAAGTTAGTTAGCATATAGTACAATAATGATTTCAGGAGTAGAATCCAGTGGTTCATTCCCTACATATAATACCCAGTGCTCATCCCAAGGAGTGTCCTCCTTAATGCCTCTTGCCAATTTAGCCCTTCCCGCTACCCACAACCCCTCCAGCAACCCTATATGCTCTACATTTAAGAGTCTTTTATGTTTTGCCCCCTCCCCCCCAGCTTTTTATATTATTTTCGCTTCCATTTAAAAATTTTTTTTTAAATTTTATTTAAATCGAAGTTAGTTAACATACAGTGTAATAATGATTTCAGGTCAATTCTCATTTCTTAACATGTTCTCAGAATGGCACGAAGTCTTAAACACACATACATGTGCATGTGTGTGTGTGGGGTTGTTATTTGAAAAAAACTTAAGATTAGATTTAATAAGCGTGGCAACCTTTCTTTGTAGGCACCTCAATATTCTATAGCCATTAAAAGTTATGTACCTTGTAAGAATTCTTTACCTGACATTTCATTGTCATTTGGTTCTTACCTGCTGACATTAGTACAAATGCAGAAAATAATGCAATTTCATCTTCGGTCAGGTGCATAGAACATAAACTCTTTCCAAATTCAAATACAAAGCTAATAAAGTCTTCACAACCTGCCAAAGTTAAAGACAGTTTAGGATTTTGGTTATTATCCTAGGAGAAAAACAAAGAGTAAGATGAAGAAGGATGTAGTAGTTCAAAATCCATGGGGATAGGAATAACATTTCTACAGTTTAACAGTTTGAAATCTCAAAAGAAAAATTTGTTTAGCCATCATCACTATCAACACCATCATCATCATCATCCAAAATAATGACAGTGGACTTTCGTTGCAAGGTTACTACGTCATTAAGCACCACTCTAAAAGGTATCTTACTGCTTTACAACAGCTCTGTGAGAGAGGTATTATGATTATTATCCCCATGTTAAAGGTGAGGAAACAGACTTAGAAGAATTATGCACTTTAGGTTATACAGGTAGGAAGTAACAGCCTGAAGTTCAAAGTCAGGCGGCCCAACTTCAGAACCCGTGATCTTTTTTTTCTTTTTTCTTTAACGTTTTTTTTTTATTTATTTTTGAGACAGAGAGAGACAGAGCATGAATGGGGGAGGGGCAGAGAGAGAGGGAGACACAGAATCGGAAGCAGGCTCCAGGCTCTGAGCCATCAGCCCAGAGCCTGACGCGGGGCTCGAACTCACGGACCGCGAGATCGTGACCTGAGCCGAAGTCGGCCGCTTAACCGACTGAGCCACCCAGGCGCCCCTTTCTTTTAATTTTTTAAAAAGTTTTATTTATTTTTGAGAGAGAGTGAAAGAGAGACGGACTGTGAGCAGGAATAGGGGCAGAGAGAGAGGGAGACACAGAATCTGAAGCAGGCACCAGGCTCTGAGCTGTCAGAACAGAGTCCAATGTAGGGCTCGAACCCATGAACAGTGAGGTCATGACCTGAGCCGAAGTCAGACACTTAAGTGACTGAGCCACCCAGGCACCCCCAGAACCCACTATCTTAACCGGTAGACTCGAATGGGCACAATCTAACTGAAACATTACATTCACTGACTTTCTGTTTTCTACTGTATTTGATCTAAAGCACCCTTAAAAATGATAACAAATGACATATTATGGTGGTAAAAATCATTATAGCTATTACAGAATTGAAAACATAAAATGTGAAAGTCCCATAAAATAATAACCCATCCTCAAGAGATTGGTTAAGTTTGGGGTCTAGTCGTTCGGTTTTGCATATTATGTATACATATTTAAACGGCAATGGGCCTTACTAAAGTACATAGACCTTCTATCATTTAACTGTTATTAAAATCATTTAACAACATTATCTTGGATAGCGTTTCATTCTTAATGATTACATCCCACTACAAATTATAGAAATCTAAACTAATTAATTTTTATAGTACATGTCACAGTTTCACCTAGCAATACCTTGTTTCTATGATATCTGCATTTCATTCTTATTAATGGTTGTTATTGGAGAAGTACGGAAAGGGCAGACATTTAGCTATTTGCTTGATTTTATGTATCAAATCACATCCTCTCATTTACGTGAATAATGTATCCTTTGAAAATCTGGTTCTTAAAATCCAGAAGGGAATTGGAAAGTTAGACAATATAAATTTCTTCGATTTCCACCTAGATGAAATGAAACGCTAACCCTTTAAATGTAAGACAGACACGTGTGCATTTTCTGCATTGACTATAAAGTAACAGAAGTATAAAATCCTTTCATTTTTGTTTCCAAATAACAGCCTCCATTCCATGCAAAAGCTCTTTGGCGGGGTTCCCACATTTTCCTACGACCCCGGTTTAAAGACAGAGCAGCCAGGTTTCCTTACCCAAGGATTTGAAGACATCGGGGCTAGCATATTTCCCATCAAAGTACACGGTGTTGTTCTGAGAGTCGAAGGCACGGCACATTCTGATAAACACCACCTCTAGAGAACCTAAGCGAAGGCAGAAATGGTGTCGATTATTCTATCGTGGTGAAGATTCATCTAGCTTGAAGGCACGAATGTAGAGCCCCCCTTGCAATTCAGTGCAGCAGGGGCAGTATTTGGCAAACGGCTCCCTGTCACCTCAGCTGTCTGTTTAAAGGGGCAAAGTTCACGAGTGGAATTAAAGATGTGTGCTGAAGCTAATGAAGGCCTGTATTCCTGAAGACAGATGGAGTTACAAATTACTTCTCTGGCATTCTTCTGTCTTGCATTACAGAGTCTCAGAGTTGCCGGGAAAACGTATTGATTCCTATTTATTAAAACAAACCAAAAAACCAGGGGCGTACCTCTGAGTGCCACAAATAACCTTCCTAACAACTTACTGTTTGCTCCCGAGAGTCTGGAGTGGGAGAAACGAAACACACAAGAGACGGTAAGATGGGGGAACGCAGGTGTCCTTCAAATTAATTGTTTCATTCAGAGGAGAAGCAAAATGGAGGCAGTGTTTCCCACAGATAGCTCAAAACCCTTTCACAAGGACTCAGTTTCTGCTAAGAGAAACCCGAGCTATCATCGTTGGAGGAAAACTGTTCCCGACACCTTCCTTACCAAGCATTTCTTTAATAAGCGGGTGAAAGCAGGTTAGGAGGAGATCTCAAAATTCACTTGCAGAAAGCACATACCTGCTTTGAGAAGCACAATTTGATCATTTTGACACAGTTCCATAAATCCATCAATGCGTTTGGCAAACTCCACCACATACTGTATAGCCTCCGTGATTTTGATGGCACACAATTGCCACATCACCTCCCGCTGCTGTTGAGAAGCGAAGCACATTGACATATACGGTCACCCATATCCTTGACACACTCGTTTTAACTGTTCGTATTTTGTAAAATCCTTCTTTGGAAACGGATTAAACAAAGCTAGAGGATTAAAAATGAACATCTGGGTTCTAACGACTGCTTCCAAGCCCCTCTCGTCTCCTCCAGTTCCTCTTTTGCCATCTTGGTGGCAAAGGGACGGGAGGAAGGTGTTATGAGCAGGTGAAAACACGAGGCAGGAAAGCAACACATGCCACTGCTTTACCCTTGGGTCTCGGAGAGAAGCAAAGTAGGATCTTCTTTTATTATTATTATTATTATTATTATTATTATTATTATTTTGTAAGTTTATTTATTTATTTTGAGAGAGACAGAGCACAAGCAGGGGAGGGGCAGAGAAAGGGAGACAGAATCCCAAGCAGGCTCTGCACCATCAGTGCAGAGCCCAATGCAGGGCTTGAACTCACAAACCGTGAGATTGTGACCTGAGCCGAAATCAAGAGACAGACGCTTAACCGACTGAGCCACCCAGGCGCCCCAGTAGGATCTTCTTCTGAGTAATCATTTTACCTTGGGGAATTTAACACCACTTTACTGGGGGAAGGGAAGGAAAGGGGGAGTCAATTACATTCACTGTGCACCTGCTTTGAGCTAGATGCTTTATGACACCTTTGCCTTGTTTCATTTCCCCACGAACATTTTTCCGTTTCCCATAAATGGACATGAATGCTCACAGAGGTTTCACAGCTGGAGGTGTTGGAGCTGGGATTCAAATCCCAGCATCGCTGACTCTGAATCCCATTTCATAAGCCTTGCTGTTTCTTACTGCTTTCTGGTTTCCCTTTGTAACACTGGTTGGCCGCTATCTCAAAGGCAAACAAACTGATGTGTTGCCGTTCTTCAACCTTTCCTGTTTACCTGCTTTTACATACCCACTCTTTAGTTACAGGGTATCTATACCCTGGATCTGTTACACTGCTCATGTGTTCCCCCCATCTTAGTTTAACACTGCTTCCACCAATATGATGGGGGTGAAGGAAACACTGCATTAGAAGCCAGGAGTCACTGGTCTAGTCCTGATATCCTCAATCCCCCACCATATGCCAAGGGTTGTTAGTTTCCTCATTTGTAAAATGCAGGGGAGGATTAGCCTGGATAATCTCTATCATCACTCCTAGCCCTACCTTTCTATAAGTATTCGGAAAAACCACAGCATTTCCCTTTCCCACGCCAGCCCTGCCCTTCCATTCTGGGGGCTTGTTGATCAGAATGTGTAAAGAAAAAGGCTAGAAGCAGTGCTCTCTGTCAGCCTCACGTTGCTAGGTTCACTGGAGTTATGGCAATAGCTTCTAAACCTTGTTTTGTACACACTCTCTACTGCTCTGGAAACACGAGGCTGAGATTATTTTCTATCAGCTTCCAGAGCTTGAAATCTTCCACTGTGATATCAGGACAAATCTCAATTCATTTGGGCTTTTGGACGCTGCTTCCTCCAGCTCCCATGGACATATGATAGGAGATATGTGTAAAGTCGTAGCACAACAAAATCGGTTTGTTATTGCAGAAATTTCACACACTGGCATCTCAGTAAGACAAAGCCCCAAGTAGATGATCATCTCTAGGAGAAGGATTAAAAAAAATTTTTTTTAAATGTTTATTTATTTTTGAGAGTGAGAGAGAGACAGAGTGTGAGAGAGGGAGGGGCGGGGAGAGAGGGAGACACAGAATCCAAAGCTGAGCTGGCAGCACAGAGCCTGACGCAGGGCTCGAACTCAGGGATGGTGAGATCATGACTTGAGCCGAAGTCGGATGCTTAACCGACTGAGGCACCCAGGCGCCCCTCTAGGAGACAGATTTTTAAACAGACATCTGATATCTGATGAAATACATTCATTGTCTAGTCTGTTTGTGTTCTTGATCAGATCTCCAGCATAAACACCCTTCCCACCGTTGCCTCAATCCTGGGTAAAATTCTTCAGAGTATACCTTGTTTTGGTAGCTCTCTATCTCCTCCTGCAGAAAAGTCTGCCACGTTATCTGCTGGAGCTCTTCTCTCAAGTATTGGCAAGTTTCCAGATGTGATTTAGATATATTCTGTGCAAGGTGTTCTAAGGAGAAAACAGATCACAAACATGAAAAGCCAAGTTCTTCTTTGGATAATCAGGGTTTTCTGTACTTATGTGGTTTAAAAAGTAATATGTACAAAGTAATGAACCAGTTTTCATTATCTTTACATATTTAAATGAGCAATTTGGAACTATTCTGTATTTTCGAACATGAAGATGAAGGACAGGCAAAGCCAATATTTAGCAATAAGTCTTGGGGACTTCAAAGACCCTCCTGACCTTGACCTTCTTCTGTGGCCTTACACCGTTTGGGAGTGAACAATTATTGACCTGGACAAGAGTAGGAAATGACTGACACAGCCTCTTCTTGGCATTTTTATGAAGACACATCTGCTGTATACATTGACCTCGGGAGGATTTCTCTTGAAAAATTGGGAAATGGGATGTTTGTGTGAAAACAACGATTTCTTTCTTTTATTTTTCCAGCAACTAGCACAACAAGCATTACCGAGGGCCACTATGCCATTACACATAACGTGGTGGTTAAGAAGTGGACTCTGGCACCAGACTGCCTGCGTTTGAGACTCAGCTCTTGTATTCACTAGCTGTATGACCTTGGGTAAGTTCCTCAATGTCTTGGTGCTTCAGTCTTCTCATTTGCAAAAACAGTACCTATTTCAAAGAGCTTGTAAGAATTAAATGAGTTGAGCACTTAAAACAGAGAGGGTCACCTACTATGGCGCTACATAAACATTTGTTCTTATTATACTGGAATATAGGCAGTCTGAAGATATTAAAAGAAATATATGCCAAAGAAATTTCTCTAGGAACTTATAATCTGGTGAACACGTATGCACATGCTAAAAGGACAAGTCAAGACATTAGGCAATTCAGCATCAAGTTGAATTATATCAGAAGAGACAAAAAGATCACAAGCACTGTCATGGACGGGAAACGTGAGGGGAATTAGAGAATGGTTCTTGGCAGGAGAGGAGCATGTGACGTGGACCCTGAAGGATGAGGAGGGAGGATTTGGCAGGCAGAGGTCAGTGGTGCGAAGAGGTGGGCCGGTTTCGCATTCAAGGGAATGACAGATGAAGGAACAAATGATGGCATGTGCAGGGGACAGGCAGATGGGCTCAAGTGATAGTATCAAAACAGAAACATGAGTATGTAAGAGTCCAAATTCTGGAGAAGCTTGAATATTAGGAATGTGGGGTTGGACCTGCTTCACAGAAGGAGTCCGCAGAATTCTCAAGGTGGAGCAGACACACTGAGCACTGTATCTGGGGAAACAGAACAAGCAGTTTTGTGACTGGTGGATTAGAGCACGGGCTGGAGGCCGGGGCGTCATCAGAAGGCTGCTGCAGTCCACAGTGAGGGACTAAGAGCATGCAGGAGGTTGGTAATAAATGTTATGGAAGAGAAGGATGATGAAAGTATTTTAAAAGAACAGACAAGATTCCGTGAATATGAAACCATACCCAAAAGCGATCCCCTTCCACGGTCTTGATTATGTAATAGGAAAGCCCTTTAAAAAAAATGGTGCTGAGTGAAACCTTGGCAATCCCAGTAAGAATGTCTGTTTGGAAATTTGTTACTGCTTTCATTAGACAGAATCAGACTTGTTTGTGTGAAAACAGAGTGGGTTCACCTAAGTGAAGCTTGAAACCAGAATCTCCTTAGAGACTGAAACACAATAAATCTTAACAGTTGTATTTGGCAACACACAGACACAAACACAACATAAATGGATATCATGAAAACAAAACAAAGAAAAAAACTGAAGTGAAGAGACAGAGAGACACTGACCAAAAGAGGGAGAAGCCGATAAATGATGTGTCATAGAATCAGTGAAGCTTATGGAGAGAAGAGGGGAGTAAAGACAAAAACAATGAGGAGCCAGAAATAAGAAAATAATTGTGCAAATAGTCCAATGATTTTTGCAGATATGAAAAAAAATAAAGTGTTTGCAGGGAAGCCAGAAGACCCTATGAGGTAAATAATGGGAAGAGACTCATAATATTCCCTTCCAGATCATGCTTCTTTTCCAGTTAATATGGTCAGCATCTTGTTTCACTTCATCCCCAAAATTGTTCCCACCCCTCCCTGCCTATCTGAGCTGACAAGGAATGGCGTAATGTACACATCGAGCCAGTAGAGGGCAGTGCCTGCATTCTCACCAACTGCCTTTGCTTACATTTCACAGTTGATTTGGCAAGTGTAAGATTTCAGACACTACTATTTTTAAATCTCCATTTCAGCAAAGGACAATATGGTCAGACTGAGTAAAAGTTAAGTTAGTGTGGTCTCTCAGAGAAACACTCTGGAAGGGTTAGGAGACCTGGTTTCTGGTGTGAGTTCAGCAGATAAACCACTTCATGATGGGCAAATCCGTTCACCTTATCAACCACAATGGTTTCCTCAACACAGCTAAGGTCTAGGTACTTCAGATAGAAAATCCTGACTTCTCAGTCACAGATTTTCATAGCGGGAAGGGACTCTGGACATCGCCTGGTCCACCTTCTCCTCAGTTTATAGATAATGACACCCCATTAGTAAGGATGATAACAGTTAATGTTTATATAGCTCTATGTGCTAGACCCATACATATAGACACATATATTCCGAATATACAAATTTTCTTAATCTTCATAACAACCCGAGGAAGCAGGTGCTAGTATTTTGCCCTCTTACTGATGATGAAATCAAAAGGGAAGTGGCTTTTCCAAGGCATCACAGCTGGCAAGTGGCGAGTGATTCAAACACACACAATCTGGCACCAGAGTCTGTGCTCTTAATCTTTCTATTCTGCAGGCAGGGAAACTGCAGCTTGCAGAGGTTATAGGACTTAAAATGGGTTGTACAACCTATAGCAAAGCTAGGACCATAAACCATATGAGCTGACTTTTTGACTAGGGCTTTTGTCCAATAATTGTCTCTTCTGCACAAGGCTTTAGTTATCAATTATAGTGACACGTGCAGCTAGCTTTTTTTTTTTTTTAAATGAATGTAGGTTGTTTATCTGCAATGTATAATTCAGGTACTAACTGTACCTCAAGGGCGAAATTTCCTAGCCAGGAATGCAGATGTATTTCCACTGAAAGTCATGGATTGTAGATACTATTGTTGAAAGATAGAACTGAGGTTAAGATATGTCAATTTACAATTTATTCTCCAACTGTAGAGTTGGTTTCATCTGTTTAAAATCTGATGACAAAATTTCGCCTACAATGAAGTCAGGAGTGTTAGTTAAGATAGTAAGACAGGAATCACTATATTGTACAGCTGAAACAAATATAACGTTGTATGTTAACTATACTGGAATGAAAAAAAAAAAAAAGACAGCAGGACTTAAGGCCCCAGAGGAAATATCAGGGAACCCCAGGTAGCTATGAAGAAGGAGCAGCAAAGTCTTTGGCCACTTCTATGCTACCCTTAGCTCCTCAAACTATTTTGTACATGTAAATGGGGAAGAAAATTATAACCCAATTATATTCTTTTCAGACAAATTCTTGCTTAGTTTTAGGTTTGGGACTAACCCTAGTGATAAGCTAATTTGAGTCATTCTGGAAAGGGCCACAGTACATGTGAAAAAGCCCTAATTTAGGAGAGCATGGAGAACATAAGAGGCTACAGGGCTCCCAGACGGCAGAGGGAGGTGACAACTGTGGAAGAGGACATGGACGTGTGGGGTCAGGGAGAAACGGCTTGGCCATTTGTGGCCCCACTTAGGTATTAGCGCACATTTAGCCCCAGGGCCATATTTAAGGGCAATGCTTTGGCTAAGCCCTATGGATTTATTCCAGAGTTGACTATTTGACAAGCAAACAGGCCAGATTCAAATGTATTTATGATAAGGTGGGAGCACACCGAAAGTGAGCCAGGTCAGTTTTCATGATATCATGTCAGCTTTCAATCAAATGCGTATTCATTTCTGAAAATTTCACTTTCATTACAGTCCTGCTTAAGTCTCGGCCAGCCAAGATTTCACGACAAAAACGGAAGGTTTTTGTTCTAGTTCAAGAAAAAAATATCAAACCTACCTCTGCTCAGCTTGGCTTCTAGTTCAGAGGTTCCTCTGTTAATCAAAAGAGCTGTGATACACCTTTAATGCTGTTCAGTGGTTAAAGACCGAGCTTAAAATGTCCCTGCTCTTGAGGATTTAAATTTAGACCCATAAAGAGGTGCTTGTGTAAAAACCGTAAAGAACATTCAATTTGTTCTATTTGGAGAAAGATTTTACTGGAAATATAAATTTCACTTAAAATGTTTTATGGGGTACAGAGGTGGAGAAACCATCTAAAGAACACAACCGTTATTTCTGTGAACTAAGAATGTCTGTGCTCAAGTCAGAACCTGCTGGTTCTTTTCCATCTGAAGTCTCCATTCTCTCCTCGTGTTAACTTAGTCACCTCCACAGCAACTAATTGAAATATCCCAAAGGACTGCAACCTTGTGTGAAGAATCGCAGGGAGGAGCACATCAAATTCTAGAACTGCAAAGTTTCTAATCAAAGTTTCTCTAATAACAGTGTTGTACCTAAAAATCGATCACATATTATAACGAGGGTTGTTAACACAACTTCCTTGAAATGGCAAGTCTTCCACTGTCTGTGTTATCAATATGGCTAGGTCACATTTCCCAAAAAGCAACAATGTCTCACAGGAATTAGGAAACGACAAATTTTGTTTTGTTTTGCATGGTGAGTCTTCTTCTATGAAATATACCAGTGTTGTCACCAATATCATCACCAAACCATTTTGGCAAATAAAGACGCCAATTTCCCTTTAACATTTATGGAATACACCACAGTTGCAAAACCTAGATGCCAACAGGAGCTGGGCAGTGATATAAAATGGGAAAACACGCCAAGGTGTTAGGGCCTATCTGGGGCCAGCTGCTTTATTGTCATTCACCGATACTGGTCCAGTGTACTTAGATCATTTTTTTCCTCTCACAAGAAGCTGAAAATGTGAACTTCTAGGCAGAATTGTCTAGGTTTAAAATTTTAGCAACCAATTCAAAAATCTTACAACTCTGCATGCGTATGGACCGGGCTCAGGGTCAAAAAAACATGCGTATGGACCAAGTTCAGGGTGTGGGCTGCCATTTTTATGACTCCAGGTATAAAGAAATACCTGGAATATAACTAAAGAAAATAATGAACAAAATTAATGGGGCTGTTTCCTGAGTTTATAGCCTCTGTGGAATTTAAAGACCGCTTTAAATCTCTGAACCGAGATGCTGTTCCCTCTCTGATACTGACAGGTCAGTGCGTTTCTTTGATATGCGATGGGAAATAGGGCATAGTCAAAAGCAAAGGGGCAGCGTGAAAATCTGAAGTGGCCCATATGGTAAAGGCGAATTTCTCTTTTAGTGCCATTTAAGTACCATAACTTATTACGGGAAAGTCCAACATATCCCACTTATCTGGAAGGGAATGAATAATGCATCACAATGGAAACATGGAGGCCATTACCTAGTTCCGCCATGGACACAGTTGGGGAAGTCTCTCCATTGGTGAAAGAACAGTAGGGAAAGAAGCCTGATGCTGGTGTGTAGTCACATATTGGTTCTGGCTTGATTCCGTTGATATCAAGACCTGACTGGTCTGGGGAAGGCTGTATGTCCAGGTAGAAGCTGCTGACAGCAGAGTCTGCCTTGCTCCCCTCAGGGGTGTGCCCGTCAATGTAGTTGCTGAGGTCCTCGTGAAGCTCTGTCAGCCCATTGGCCGAGATGTTGTAGGTTGGAGTCAGCGGCTCAGCCTCTCCAGGCTGCTGTTGGTGGTCTCGCTGCTGCTGCTGCATCCGGTGTTTCTGCACTTCTGCGTACAAGCTGTCTCTCTGCTTTTTGGACATTCGGCCAAATTTTACAGCTGGAAGAAAAAAGCCAAACCGCACCATATACAATACGTTCTTCTTTATTATTCTCTCCAGCACGCTTCAGGGGTTCCTTTTAAGTCTCAGACAATCTCAATCAAAAACCACATAACCACAGAATGAGGACATGATCCAGGGGTGAAAGCAGTCCCACCCCACACAAGCTTGCCGGCTCCACATCCCAGAGGAGCAAAGTTTCAGAAACAGACCTAGGACTCGCGGAAGGGCAATGACCATGTATGTTTTCCTGCTGTCATATAACCCTACGCCCAGTGGGAATCACTGACAGGTGACTTAATGGGCTTGTTCATTTTCCACCCATGCAGCCTGCCTAGACCACCTCTTTCTCTTCCCAGGGTTCAGACCAGTGTACAGGGATGCAGACGCATAGAGGTACAACGAGGCACAAGCAGCCAAACTTCAACTTTCATTCATTTCACGCATTCATTCATTTGCTCCTTCCCAATCCAATGGCCCGACACTGGGGCTTTGCTGAGAGACCTAAACAGACTGGATGAGACCTTTGCAATTCCCTGAATTATATCTCTGAGTCTATGTGACCTAAGAAGCCCCCCTCATCCTTCTGGGTCATGGTGACCCTTGTGAAACCCTTGGGCCCACCTTTAAGTGACTTTCTGCTGTTTAGCCTCCAGTAGAAAGAGTACTGGAATTTTGGGAAGGGCAAACAATGCGTAAGATCCCTGTTGGGAAAATTTGTGTTTGCAAATTTCTCCTTGCCATGTGTCCCCATATTTGAAAAAAGTTTTTATGTTCACTTATTTTTGAGAGACAGAGAGACAGAGTCAGAGTGTGAGCAGGGGAGGGGCAGAGAGAGAGGGAGACACAGAATCTGAAGCAGACTCCAGGCTCCAAGCTGCCAGCACAGAGCCCGAAGTGGGGCTCAAACTTGTGAACTCTGAGATCGTGACCTGAGACCAAATGAGCCACCTAGGCACCGATGTGTCCCCATATTTAAAGTAGAACAATGCGTGTAGTAACTATCCAGTTCATTCAGAATCCAAAATGATCTCTCTTAAAACACCAGATAATTGATAAAAGGAACCCTACGATTTCCTGGTCTGAACTCTCCCAGTAACCCATTTATTTGTTAGCCTGATTCTTTTTTTTTTTTTTTAATATAATTTATTGTCAACTTGGCTAACATACAGTGTATACACTGTGCTCTTGGTTTTGGCAGTAGATTCCCATGATTCACTGCTTACACACAACACCTAGTACTCTTCCCAACACGTGCCCTCCTCAAGGCGCATCATCCATTTTCCACTCCCCTCTCATCTTTCCCCCCACTGACCCTCAGTTTGTTCTCTATATTTAAGAGTCTCTAATGGTTTGCCTCCCTCTCTGTTTGAAACTGTCTTTTTCCCTTTCCATTCCCCCATGGTCTTCTGTTAAGTTTCTCAAATTCCACATATGAGTGGAAACATATGATATTTGTCTTTTCTATGACTAACTTATTTCACTTAGTATCATACCCTCCAGTTCCATCCACGTTGCTCCACATGGCAGGATTTTATTCTTTCTCATTGCCAAGTAGTATTCCATTGTATATATAAACCACATCTTCTTTATGCATTGTCAGTCTGATTCTGTGTATGCAGATAAATCCTCTGCTGGAGGGACTAAGATCTACTAATTGATTATGGTTACATTAATACCCGATCAGGTGGATGAATGCACCCATTTGGCTATCATTATAATACTTGGAGTTTCGGGGCAGGAGAGAAAATAGATGGAAGTGAAATTGGGATCCAGGGCCACCACCCAGACCAGCTGGGAGATTCATTTTCTGCCAAGGAAGACATGTTGTTCCTTTTCACATAGGAAACAAGGGAGTGGGATCCCGGTCAATTTCCAGTTTCCACGACTCAGGTAACAAACTTGGGTGGGGCTGGTTAGGCAGCGATCAAGCTGTTCTGAGCTCTAGGTTTCAGGCCTGTCATTGTATAAGCCCCAACATATTAGAATACCCAGTGGGACGGATAACCATAGGTACGCACACAACTTGTGATCTTAGCCTACAAGTTCACAAGAGAAATGCCTAACTTTGTCGGTTTAGTGCCATCGGAAGATGAGATCTGCAGAGCTGCCAATCACAGGAATTTCTGAGAATATAAATTCTGTGACTTGCATCTTTTCATGCCCCAAACTTTCTATTTTCTGTTCCCACACATTTTTGTTGCTACACAGGTGCCATCCTGTGCACCACTACTGAAGGACATCACAACTTGTGCCTGGACAGGCCTATGGGCCCCAAGAACATCTAATTAGGGGGAAAGACAGGCTTTCAGAATGCCTGCCCAGCGTTCTGAAATATTTTCCACACGCTGAAATTCCACTGAAAGAGATGTTTCCTTCAAGGGATCTCTTAAGAGAGCCAGCCAGCCTGTATATTCATAAAAGTATCCATTATACTTTGTGCCCAGTTTCCCCGTTTAAGAATAACTGTCTTGAAATCTGGGGTTGATTACTCCATGTACATAAGACAGTTTTACAGAAAGATCTTGAAATGTTTTACAATTGAATGATGGCCTCTATTTTTTAACATATTTTCTTTTAAGGAAAAAAAAATTGTCATTGAGCCATGCTTTGTACTATTTTCACACATTCTCTAGGTACAAATATATGACTTTTTCTTTTGTTTTGAGATATATTTTGATTTGCTGTTTGATTTCTTATTTGGCCCACTGCTTGTGCAGTAGTGTGGTGTTTAATATTTATATATTAAATACTGAATATTTACATAGTAGATTCTCCGGCTTTGTTTTATTATTGATCTTTAGTTTTGTACCATTGTGGTTGGAAAATATACTTGGTATAATTTCAGTCTTCTTAAATTTATAATATTTTTTATGTCTCTTTTTATGTGACTTATCCAGGGGATTCTTGAAAAAATGTAAAGAAAATGTGTATTCTATTTTTCATGGATGGAATGTTTTACATTTATTTCTTAGAACCATGTATCCTAAAGTATGCTCTTAGTAAAAAATGTTCTGGTTGAAAAAAGAAATAATAACTTTAACTGGAGGTACTCTTAAAGCCTATTGGAGGGTAGGAGGGAAGACGGACAGGTTAAATAGACAATGAGTATTCAGGAGTGCACTTGTCATGATGAACACGAGGTGTTGTATGGAAATGTTGAATCACTATATTGTACACCTGAAACTAACCTAGCACTGGATGTTAACTACACTGGAATTAAAAAAAAGTAATAAAAAAAATTTTAAACTCAAATATATGACGTTGGTATGTGATTCAAAACACCCAGTTAACATAAAAGCTAATTCATTCCAACTGCCAATAAGCTTACTAGTGTCAAGCACGTGATGATTAGCTCTGGCTTATATTTCTTACTGGGGAAAGTGCCTATAAGAGGTATATTTATTTAGGTCCTCAGATGACATTTACCCTCAATCAATTCATCAACCTGTAATGTCTTAAATGTAAAAAATCTGAAGGTGTTCTGACCACACCTGCTTCTCTTCCATGCCACTCCCACCCCCAGCTGACTCCAATGGATTACAGAGGGGGTAGTAACTGTTGTGGAACCCAAAAAGCCACCGGAGAAGGTGGGTGGTGTAGGGGAGGGGGAGGGACAGAGGGGACATCTTTTGGCAGATCTGGGTCCAGGTCTCAGAAGGCACTCTCACAAGCCCATGCATTCTACAACTCAAATTATGAGGGCTCACCATCTCGAGACATCCCTACGGCAAGGCATTTCTGCAATCGACAGTGTTGGCAGCGGTTTCTACTGGTTCGATCAATCAAACAGTTCTTCTGACGAGGACAGGAGTAGGTGGCATTGCTTTGCTGACTTCTCCTGAAAAAGCCCTGTGATTCAGTTATAAAATATAAAACAGGTTAGTGTCAGTTTGAGCCGTATGATACTAAAGGCAGTATACTAAGTGCTGAGCAGCATTAATGTTTAATGGAGAATTAAAGTTGTAGCAGAATGATCCAGGAGACCATTAATGAAATTAAAGTCACTTCTTTTGCTTGGGTAAAAGTGATCCCCAGAGCTTAATCCTCCGTCCCTTACACATGCGAAACTTTCTTTAACTCCAACAGATGGTTGCCTATTTGAAAGGCATAGGATTAGACCCTGTTGTCAGCTTCTGACAAACAAACCATGTTCTTGATGGATCGGTACAAAGTCACTTATCTTTAACCTTTATCTCCAAAATATTTTTAGTGGAATAAACACAAAACACTTCTCTGGGATGTCCAGAGATAAGGAAAATGCTGCCTCAGTGTAACTCATGGTGGCTGTAATCCTGCTACCGCGGGTAATCTCTACTAGCCCACTTAACTCCACCACACCAGGCATCTTGCATTTCCTAAGACAGAAGCTACTGCCCCAAGAACTTAAATGACATTTGGATGGATGACCTTGGTAGATCAATCAGAATGGGAATACTCCTCAACCTCTGACAGTTTGGAAATACCACGTGTTCAGGGTTATGGCCTTAATTTAGCAAATCCAATCTGATGTTCATCAAGTTCCACTTATTTGTTAAGCACCATTTTCGGAAATGAGAGGGTATTCAAAGATGCCAAAGAGGGGCGCCTGGGTGGCTCAGTCGGTTAAGCGTCCAACTTCAGCTCAGGTCACGATCTCGCGGTCTGGGAGTTGGAGTTCGAGCCCCGCGTCAGGCTCTGGACTGATGGCTCAGACCCTGGAGCCTGCTTCCGGTTCTGTGTCTCCCTCTCTCTCTGCCCCTCCCCCATTCATGCTCTGTCTCTCTCTGTCTCAAAAATAAATAAACGTTAAAAAAATTTTAAAAATTAAAAAATAAATAAATAAAACATAACAAAAAGGAAAATGTGCAGCTTTAGGAAAATGATAAACACTGAAAATTAATGACATAGTGAGGATCCAGCTCAAAAAATTAGCAAAAATGAGTGAATGAATGAATGAAATCCTTGAGATCAGTACTTCCTTTGGCATCTTTTTTTTTTTATATAACATTTTTTTTTTAACGTTTTATTTATTTTTGAGACAGAGAGAGACAGAGCATGAACGGGGGAGGGGCAGAGAGAGAGGGAGACACAGAACCGGAAGCAGGCTCCAGGCTCTGAGCCATCAGCCCAGAGCCTGACGCGGGGCTCGAACTCACGGACCGTGAGATCGTGACCTAAGCTGAAGTCGGACGCTTAACCGACTGAGCCACCCAGGCGCCCCTTTGTTATGTTTTAGAAGTAACCCACAAGTTTTGCTATGTAGCATTTTCATTACCATTCACTTGAAAACATGCTCTAATTTTCCAATAGATTTCTTCTTTAATATAATATTTAGAAGCATATTTCTTGATTTCTAAACATATGGGGCCGTTGGTTGTCTTTTTCTTGTTGACTTATCTCTTAGTGGTTTCACAAGCTAGGGAGGTAGTGAAGAAAAGGAAGGTAACCAGAGTCATTTCTATGATGTAGAGCCATGAAGGGTACAAAAGAGCATTATTATCCTCAAATCCTTAATGTTAAAGATACATGACCTCAATAAAGGGGACACAAGTGGAGAGGGGAGAGGTAAAATCCGGAAAAACTGACAGAGTAGTGGACAAACTGACAAAGGTACTATCCCATCAAAAGGTTTTTCTGGAGGTCAATTTGGCAGTTGTATCAAAATCCTTAAAAACATGTCTATTTATTAAATTAGTAATTATCTTTTAGTGAATATATTTAAAAAATTTTTTTAATGTTTTATTTATTTTTGAGACAGGGAGAGACAGAGCATGAACAGGGGAGGATCAGAGAGAGGGAGACACAGAATCTGAAACAAGCTCCAGGCTCTGAGCTGTCAGCACAGAGCCCGATGCGGGGCTCGAACTCACAGACCGCGAGATCATGACCTGAGCCGAAGTCGGCCGCTTAACCGACTGAGCCACCCAGGCACCCCAGTAATTATCTTTTAGCGAATATATTTTAAAGGAATATTAAGAATGGTACAAAGACTTATCTACAAGGATGTTTATCATACACAGTATCTGTTATATCAAAATAATTTAGAAAGATGCTAAATATCTTACATTAGTGAACTGGAAAATAACTGGATATCCATACATTCAGAAACCATTAAAAATGGAATTTCAGAAATACAAATACTGACTCAAAAAGATGATAAAAATAAACATCTTTCTGTTTATCTGCACTTTCTGAATTTTCTACAATATGTAGGTGGAAATGTATATGAACTACTTGGGAAGTGCAATCTAGTACATCTGCTTTCTTTTGTGACAGGTGGGTGACTATGGATTAAGTCAATAGGTATGATGGATATGACCTTAGTTCCCACTTCTTCGTTTTGGAAGTCAACCTGGGATGGGAGGGGGAAGGGCAATGACCTGTCACCTGCTCTTGGCTCTCTGCCAAACCACTCACTAACCTAAACATGGGCAAGGCTGGGGATCCCGGGTCTCAGACTGTCTGTCTGATATGCTTTAAATCTCCCTTATTTTGAGTCTGGCCTCTTCTGTGAAGCAATCTCTCTTTTCTCAAAAAAAGCTGTGGGCTTTTTCATTGGTTTTGTGTGTGTGTGTGTGTGTGTGTGTGTGTGTGTGTTCTGTGAAAAGGAAGTGAGAAGAAGTAAAGCTTTCTTTGGGACTTAATGGAGAGAATTCAGGAAAATATAAATGGTAACAGAGGCAGATAAGCCTTAGAAAGAGATACCGAGAGGTCACCTGGCTAGGTATTCAATTTGTCTGAGATGCATAATCTCTGTCAAAGCTGAAAGGTGTCTATTTCTTTCTTGAGACTACTACCGCTCAGACCAACCCACGTTCGCTGTCACCACAGGTGCCTAGGATCAGGAATCACTTGCTTTTCCTGCAGTCGAAGCTGAATTTTGTTGCTTCACAGTTAACCTGCTCCATTTTGTTCCATGATCATCGAATACGGAGAAATGTCTGAGTGATCTCCTTTTTATGTGAATGGAACCAGTACTTGTGGATGGCCACCCTACTTCCCAATGCCATGTCTGTAAACCAAATCACAGCATCTGTCACCTTTCTCTTCCACCTGAAGTATTTCTTCTCAGAATCCTCTCAGGTTTCTCCACTTTCTTCAAAAATATGAAATTCAGAACTAGATACAGCTCTCGAATAATGTTCGGGTCATTAACAAAAAAGGATGCCACTTTTTAGTTTGCACTTACTAAATTCAAATTAGTATCAACCATCACTAGTAAGTTCCAGAATGCTTGCATAGAAGCCATCAATTTGCTCTGCTACCAGAGAACACTGAGAGAGGATGGTGATGGTGATGATGATGATGATGATGACTGAAAAACTTTAATGAGTACTTGTATTAACCATATGTTTTTATTCCATACTTTTTATGCTTTGACATCTTGGGGCCTTGTGACCCAAGGAGAGATTACATTTCCCAGGGCTAGCTAATTCTTAGACATCTCAAACAACTTGCCTGGGAACACACTCTTCATAGGCAAACCAACCAATCCCGAGCCCGTATACCCAAACACCTCCTCTATAATGCTCTCACACTCTGGGCCACTAGTGCCCTGACCAAATTACCCCAGGACCAGGTACCAGACAACTAGGGCAGCCAGAGCTGGCTAAAATTATGAAAACTAGCCAATCTTAAACCTGCTTATCCTGCCCTGCCCATTCCTTTCTAGGGAAAATCACAACAAGGCTCTTGCCCACATTTTCCCCTTGCTCCCTCTACCCCTGACTGATCCTGGTCCTTCCCACTGTGGTCCCCCCTGCATGCCATGCTGCACCTCTTTTTCCTAGGGACCTGTGAGTATAAAATCTTCATCCTTCATGACATTTTTGCATCTGTGTGTCTTACCTACCTGATTAAAACAAATCGAAGGTATTGCTGAAACAGTGATTATGTGCTAGGCACCCTGTGCTTTACGTGGATGACATCATTTAATTATAACAAGGGCAGTATGAGGAAGGCATCATCAATTCCTTGGTTTTAGGTACAATGACTTGCTCAGAGCTCCACCTTTAGCATGGGGTAAAGGCAGGGGATGAATGCATGTGGCTTAATTCCAGAACTCACACTTTCATTCTTTTTTATTTTTCTGCTTCCCTTGCATGTCAAAAGGATTCCCACTTGCTTGTTCTCATAGAGGGCAACCATTAACTTAGGCAAAGAAACAGATATGAATAAAGCAGCAAGACTGATCTACTCTGAAACTGCTGTTTTCCTTCAGGTTAGCCCCTTTAGCAGACAAAAGGGCACTGCCCAGGCATTTTACAGATTTCTCTTCCACAGTCACCTCCTGATGTGGGTTAGAGTCAGATGAGAAAACCAGTCCCATGATCTCACAATTTCCCCTCATTTCTGACCAGAGGATCACGTCTCCTTTTATTCACCTTATTTAGGTCTACATTACTTCGGCTTACTTGGAAAACAAAACAACAAATAACAGCAAACTTACTTCAAGGACACTGAATCATTAAAGACATGTACCATTAAAGATGTCTGAGTAATTATGCCATAAATCGCAAGGAAAATCCATGAAGCATTCCACATGTGCTTTGAGCAATGGCACTGAGGCTGGAACTAATGTCTGGCTTCCAAGCTATCAGCTTGGAAAACAACTACACTTCCTTAGATGTGTCAGCTTTGAAGGGATTGGGAAAAGCAGGCGAGCAAACAGACATACCATGCTCTTCTCACCATTTATTCTTCATTGGGTCAGTTGAGCAAGTGTCTGCTGAAAGTTCTAGGAGTGGGTAAGAGCCAGAGAAGAAATGTTCCTTTTGGACTAAGACAACAGAGTCATGCCCACGAGGAGAGCTATCACATACCAGATGGGATGGGTCAAGTAGGGTTATAAGGTGAGAGCCATGAAGAGA